GATGAGTGTAAACCCAATGCTATACTCGAGATCCGTAAGTTTGGTGGTAGGCGTTCACCGGAGAGTGGACGTGTACTTTATAGGAATCATGTCGGAGTAGCCGGCGCTTCCTCTGAGGGGGTATGAGCATCGCGAGATTATCACGAATGGCATGGCTGCATGCGTCTTATCTACGCAAGTTCTATCAAGGCCACGTCACTTCCGGTGACACGCCTACCCCAACTTTCGGATCTCGACTGTACTTACTATGAAGCCTTCATCTGTCGTCTGTCGCTGTGTATGTCTGTCACAAAATTCCCTAGCTTCCCAAGATCCACCTAGGGCCGTATGCTGAATGTTGGGTAGGGGCTGGGGCCCCCGACCCGCGATGCAGAATGCTGGGAAATCGTTGGGGCCCCCATCATGGTTTCGTCGCGGGACCAACCAGCCAACAGCCGCCGCCTTTGACTTTTCTGTTTTATTTCCATTTGTTTAGTGTTTATGCGTATTACATTCGTGCATTTGTTCAAGTATCATTTCTACATATACATATATGTAACGTTTAGGTTGTGCACGCGCTCCTGAATCTTCTTCCGTGCAATTTTATTCGTTCAGGTATTTCTTCTGCACGGCGCAACAGCACAATCTTTAAGTAAAGAATAGGTGGAAATAAACAAATAGATTATCAAAAAGAAAAATACCTGAACGAATAAAATTGCACGGAAGAAGATTCAGGAGCGCGTGCACAACCTAAACGTTACATATATGTATATGTAGAAATGATACTTGAACAAATGCACGAATGTAATACGCATAAACACTAAACAAATGGAAATAAAACAGAAAAGTCAAAGGCGGCGGCTGTTGGCTGGTTGGTCCCGCGACGAAACCATGATGGGGGCCCCAACGATTTCCCAGCATTCTGCATCGCGGGTCGGGGGCCCCAGCCCCTACCCAACATTCAGCATACGGCCCCAGAGAGACCAGTTCAAGTGTGTGGAAGTGGGTGGGCAAGGTCTCTCACGAAGTACAAAACACACATCAGCTAAGCGGAGCCCCGCCCACAGAGGGCGTGGCGTGCGTCGAAATGAACTGTACCGAGACCAAGATTTCGATTTCAGTGACAAAACGACCTCGAAACTGGGCCAAAAAGTGGGTAAAGGTGTGCATTGGTAAGTCACATCGAATTAGGGAGACCCACCCCCTGGGCGGGGCGTTCTCCAAAAAAGCAGTGCTTTATGAAAAATTTCATAACTCGGTTGGGAGAAAGCCTACAGAGCAGAAAACAAATTGGTGTAAGGGAGCAATGTCTAAGGTGCTCCCAGCATACATGACGTTGGCGGAGGCCCGCCCACAATGGGCGGGGCGCGCTCTGAAGTGTACAGCATTTTCTACAAGTCCTCATAATTCGGGCCGGGGAAGTCTTAAGTGAGCCGGAAAAAGGTGGATAGAGGTGGGTGGAGGAGTGGAGGCCAGCTGTCATCGGTGGGCGGGGCTTGACCAAAGTGGGCGGAGTTTGCGACGAAAATTCATAACTCGGCTCCAAGAAGTCCTAGAGATAGGGAAAACGGGGTTAGAGGTTGGCGAGGGAAAAGCTATCAGTGCGGAGCACGCACCAAGTGGGCGGAGTTATACGAAGAATCGTAATTTGGTTCCAAGAGGTCCCAGAGACCGGTGAAAAAAGGGGTAGAGGTCGGCGAAAGGAAGGGGCCAAATGCTATTGGTGGGCGGGGCACGCACCGAAGTAGGCGGAGTTTGCCACGAGATTTATTGTCCGGAAGCAGTCCGGAGACCGAGAAAAAAGAGGATAATGGTTGACGAAGAAAAAGAGGTTGAAAGCCGTCGATGATGGAGCGGATAGAATTTAGCTGAGAAGTCAGATATTCGTGGTGTATCAGGCCAAATTTGAAGATTTTCGCCGCACCATCAAATATCGCCGCAGATCTGCGTAGTGCGCGCAATGCGTGCGGCGCCAACTGGTGGAAGATATGATACGATGAGATAAGAAGGTGCGGCTGCTTGATAAGAGGTGCACTCCAGAATGAAAACGGGACGATAACGATAACGGTATCATATCTAGCACGCTCTTATCGCACCCCTTTCCACATCGATAAGTCTTTGGTTTTTGCTAACCGGACTGCCACTGAAACTTCACGTGTTCAACATTGGGCAGGACCCCTATCCACTCCAGTACACACCTTTCCCTTATCGTTCTCTGAGAAATTATCGTGACCACTTCCTTTAAGCTAGGCTACTGCTGGTTGTTGGTTTATTAGAACAATCCACATCACCGGTGAATATGCTGGATGGTCAGCTGAAAGAATCATTGGAAACCAACAGGAACATGACGAAATGAGGTCGTGTTTGGAGCTGATTCAGGCTCTGAGCATGTGAGATACAACTTTATATTCCCAAATCTTTACGGCTCGATAGAGATGTCTTAGAACCCTTACCTTTCACATCAAAATAGCACCTTAGTGTGTCAAGATTGCTTTTCTGGCGTTAGATAGAGCATCGAGATGCCATTACGGGGCGCCGGCCACGACCAGGCGGCGTCCGTTTTGTGTGAAGCACCTTCAAACGAAAAAAAAAAACCAACCATGGGTAGAGGAACCACTGGTGCACCTCGGACTAAGGGAACATGCCCTTATCCATTTTCTGGTGGATTCTCTGTGTTACTTGGCGCGTGGAAGATCCTGATCGATAACTATTAAGAGAGCGGAAGGCTCAGGAGAGCGTTCTGAAAAAATTGGAATCCGTGCTCACGAAAGCAATGAGCTAATGAGATGTCTAGGTTCGCAGATAAGCGAGTGTTTTTATCCTCCCAGACAAGTCTGGTACCAATTAACCGACCCCGAGGGATGGAAGGCTTGGTTGGCCCGGGCGACTCACGACCCAGGATTTCGATCCCCGGACCGCTCGCGTGGTAAGCGTGCCACTTGCCACTACACCACTTCCGCCCGAAAAGTTTCTAGATGGACAAGAAAATTTTTTCGAGAGTAACAATGTAGTAGTGTCTTTCCAAAATGACTGTGCCGACCGGGTACCTTAACATTCTCCTTTTGTTTTTATCAAGACTTTCCGTCCCACTGAACAGCTTTATGAATGGTTATTTCTAAGTACTCCTTACTCAACTCTTCGGAACATTTTAGTCAAGGGAATCAGCCGCAAAATAGGCATGAGAAAATTTTTCTCATTACTAATATGTATCGAAAGACTAAGAAATCTAGCGCTGAGCCACAAGATTGGCCATCGATCTAAAGTGATGAGGTTCTACGCAGGAATTTCTTTCAGTAATTCAGACCATGGCTACAACTTGAAGTATGCCTTCTTTTAATACCTATCCCTGCCTCAGCTTGCTTGAGCTGTGGGTCATGAGCAGTGCTGTAGATTTAAAGTATAAAATGAAGGAGTTTGAGGGTGCCTAAGTTTAGTACCTCATCTCATATAAGGGTTCATGTTGGGATGTCAAATCACGAAACAATCTTGTTCAGCCCAATCGAATCTTTGGTTCTTAGCATTGAATAAAGACGGCAAACAGCCTGCTAGTACCGCAATGAGTTATTCACTTACTGTATACCCTCCCCCCGTTTGTTACTTCGTTTTGCGGTAATTCATGTCCTCCCCTGTTAAGGGCCGACGCTCATAACTTTGCCGAATCGATGCGTTCGCTACGATTCGCTCGATCGCTTCCTGCGAGATTGCGAGCGATTCGCTAGCAATTCGCCTTCGACCCAGAAGCCGATTCGCTAGCGATCGCTCGCATTCGCAAAGTATGGTCGCCTAAAGACTAGTTCAGTGGTATCCAGTACTCGGTCGTACGGTAGAGAAAGATGACAAGTGAGGCGCCAGGGTCCAGCAGCTCCGCAAAAGGAGCGGTCTTGCTACCTGCTGGAGATCTTGTTGTAGAGAGAGAGGAACCTGCAGCTCTCTTGCAGAGGTCCGTCCTGTCTTTAAGGCTTAGTCCTGAGGTAAGCATCAAATTGAGGACGGTTTTAGGACCACAGTTGAATTAGTCCGTCAACGTCGTCGGACCCCATCTCCTCCCAACATTCAGCATACGGCCCCAGAAACGCCAAAAGTTTGTTTACGTTCCACAAACGATTAGTGTTGGTACCTACATCGCCATTAGGACAAGTGCCGCTCCCACCACTCAAACGCGCCACCTTCACGGAAGAGACCCGCCTCCCTCATTTTGCCGCATTTTTGAATTTGCTTTTGAGCTGTTATGTGCTGTGCGTGTGCCTTCCTTTCGTGTTCTCTTTTTGAACTCCGATCTAATAGGCCAAATAAAGCCTAGATGAAGCTGGACATTAGGGTAGCATGATTCCGGTTATTTAGACTGAAGAGCAATCTTTAGGCTATTCTTCGGTGCGTTTTCTCGTTCGATACTTGATCGGGTCCTCATGATCAACTTTCTGTCTAAGTTATGCTACTATCTACTGCGCAATTTATGTCCGAGCTCCAACTTGTTTTTTATCGATCGGTGTTGTTTGATTATCGAATCTTCGTTTCGAATGGGTTTTTGAATGTCGTTTCATATTTCGAAACTTGTCCAGAACTGCTTTACACTTTTGAAACATCTCTTTCGAAGAATAATCAAACATTCGGTTCTTTATCCAATAAGAGGGGGGTGCATTGCTGGCAAAGGTTCATATCGCCTGAAGGAATCCAAATCTTCACAAGGACTCGCTTCCGGGGATAGGTTTAAAAGCGAGAGCGAAATGATCCACGCTTCTCGGGGATTTCCCCCTCTTGCAAAAATTCGAATTTTTGTTGGCGAGAGCAGCTGTCGCACCACATGCCTCCTATCCAGTACTGGATCAGAACCAAATTCCAATAAAAATATTTAAACGAGCCATGTTGTTCCTGGTTTTCTTCGTATTCGTCTAATTAAGGCATCGCACATGAAAAAAAAAACAGTCAAGCAAGCAAATTTTAACTCACACTTAATATTTTCAGAACACTAGACAAATCTCGTCACACTATTCGAGAGAGCTTGCCGCGAATAGCAATAAATCATGTTTGGCAAATCCAGCTTTGGATCAACAGGCTCCACCTTTGGGAGCGCTGGAAGTATGCCTATTATTATTGCGTCTTTTTCCAAACTAACTTTACAACAATTATTTGTTCTGCAGGTTCACTGTTTGGTCAGAACAAGCCGACAACAAATCTCTTTGGTCAGCAGAGTGCTTCCACCCAAGGTTCATTATTTGGCCAGAAGTCCACAACGAATCTGTTCGGCCAGAGTACTCCTACCGCAGGGACTTCAATTTTTGGTATGTGGGCTATGTTCTGGAGAGTACGCATTCTGGGACACAGGCTTTTTCGGCACTATTCCACTATTACTGCCCCAAAATCTCAAAATTTTATTTTTCGTCGGCTTATAAGGGTAATTCGATGCCCGTGATTACGTCGTATATGGCATTTTTGTGATTGCTGGCGCCCATGGTGCCAATTGGCGCCATCCTTCCACGGTGTAAACTTGTAAATAGGGGTTATTTGGTGTCCTGATTACGAATATGACAATCGTTTTTGGAATTGGCGCTGTCTAACGCATATTTTCTGCTCTCCTGGGCTCTCTCACTCACACGTTGTGCTTAAGACTAAGCTTATTGGAGAAGGAGGACTCCGAGGTGGGTAAACCAGGCAACATGTGACAAAAGTTGAAGTGTGTGATATCAGGGTGAGTGGCTCACTCACCTCTGAGCCCTCCTTTCCCCAAGGGCTTAGTCCTGATAGCGATCAACCAGTGCGAGGGCGCAGACGAGCAGAAAATGGGCGCCAAATGGCGCAAGCCCAAAAATGAATGTCATATTCGTAATCAGGACACCAAATAACCCCTATGTACAAGTTTACAGCGAATTTGGTGAAAACAGCCGTCGTGACAAGTGGCGCCAAATGGCGCCAGCATCAAAAATGAATGTCATATTCGTAATCAGGGCATCGAATTACCCCTATAGGCAAAGTTTCGACGAAAAATAAAATTTTGAGATTTTGGGGCAGTAATAGTGGAATAGTGCCGCTTTTTCTTGCATTGCATTTTTGAGCATCTTATTCCATTAAAATTTTAGGGTCGTCGAATACGGGGTCCACCACTGGAACATCTTTGTTTGGGCAATCAAAACCGTCTCTATTTGGCGGCTCTTCTACAACCGGTACGACATCGCTTTTCGGCAGCTCCACAACTTCTACAGGAGGCGGTCTATTCGGATGTACGTGCTCACATTTTTTCTACCTAAAGCGCTTTTTTGTTACACAGCTCATTCAGTCACATCGTTTTCATTTTTCATTTTCATTTTTGCCCATTAAATGTACGAACAGTATCAATATCATTGCAATCAATATATATCATCAAAAGTGATGCGGCATAACCAGTATTTTCAGCTACCGCCTCCACTGTAAATGGAACCACTGTCAAGTTTGAGCCACTCGTCTCTTCAGACACAATGATGAAAAACGGTTCACAAACCACAATACAGACTAAGCATATGTGCATAACAGCTATGAAAGCTTACGAAGGGAAGAGTATAGAGGTGCATTATATTTTGAATTTCGGGCATTTTTTAAAATTGTGTTTGATGAGTACGTTTAACTTTTGTTTTGCCTCTTAAATAATTTGACACGTGGAGTCGAGGTTCGAATTTCTGTTCAGGAACTGCGTATAGAAGATTATATCGCTAACAGAAAAACACCATCTGCAAGTGGTGGTCTGTTTGGTAGTTCAACTGCGACCAATGCGGGTAGCAGCATTTTCGGTAGTACTCCTGCCAAGCCATCATTATTCGGGTCATCTACGTGTGAGTTTGTGATCTACAAATGACACCTTAACAGCAGAACCAGTTTTTAAAAGGCGGCAGAAAAGCTGCTGAAAATTTCGAAGCCGTGTTGTTTTATCAATTCTCTGGTCGACTAACTAACCTGAAGGTGCAATCCGTGTTCGTGTTCAAATATGAAAGTCAAGTTGCAAATGGGACCGTCATTGAAGAGAAATGAGAAAGAAACTTTCGAAAATGCTAAAAATATGGGTCTCTTGTCCCGTACATTGGAGTATCTTTCAGGCAAGTGATAGGGGGAGGGGGAGCACCGATGTGAGGAAGTGACAGAAGAAAATGAGAGTGGTGTGGGAGTCATGCGTCGATATCGCAGAAGTGGTAAGCACTGGTCTAGTCCCTGGTGCTTCGGTGTGGATCTAAAATAGAAACTTTGCTTTTCGCAGCACAGCACTTTGCCACTGCGCGAAACCCAGGGCCCAAAAGCCTCAATCGCAGCAGAGACTGTGTTGATAAACTCAGGTTGGGTGGCACCTTTGAGTTCTTCAAGAGTTTTTTTTTTGCCAAATAATTATATTAAAGCCTAGAATCACTGTCATTTTGTGCGCTGGAATATGTCCACTTTAGCAAAACTTTTTATAGCAACAACTTCACCGTTTGGCGCAACGCAGGGTACCTCGCTGTTTAGCCAGAATAACAATGCTACTCAGGTAGGTTCAAGAGCCATGTGATTATGGCGAGTTTATAATGAGTTCCTATCCGTGTTACTTTTAAGGGTTCTTCCCTATTCGGCAGCAAGCCAACGGGGAGCCTTTTTGGTTCTCCGGCGACAGGAACAACTTCGACGTTTGGATCCACTGGGGGCAGCTTATTTGGCAATACGGGTACTTCGGTAAGATTTCAGCAGAATTTCCGAGTTTACCTACGTTAGCAATAAACCTGAATTAGCAGACCTTCGGAACGCCTCAGCAAACTGGGTCACTGTTTGGCGGCTCCACATTTGGCGCTGCGCCTACAACGACGAGCTCGTTCACTTTCGGCTCCAATACAAATACAGTTAGTATCATGATTTTCGATTCTGATCCAACGGTTTCGTGCCAGTCCCTGTAACTTCTCACTCAGACTGCATCTCCGTTTGGTCAGACCGCAACTTCAACAACTGGGGGATTGTTTGGCTCGAATACTGCTGCTGCGAGCACAGGCAGCTTGTTTGGTAAACCTGCTGGAACGAGCACATTTTCCTTCGGAACTCCATCGAATACGACATTTGGTGAGTCATTGCGCTTCAATGAATCATGTTTTCGTTACAACGGCGACATGTCAGAAAGTTCAAAGTTAATATTGAAAATATATTCAGGTCAAACAACGTCAGGTGGTCTTTTCGGTAATACTCAGAAGCCCGGTGGATTGTTTGGCAGCACTACTAACACTACTGGAGGTAGGTTCACTTTCACTGCTTATCAACTCTGTTCTTTTTACTTACTGAAAAGTATGAGGATGCTGACTACCCCAACGATGTGGCGTTTATCTACATATGTGGCTCAGAAGCGGTGCATCAAGTTTGTAGCTGCACCGAATGCTGTTATCATGGTGTTGTTTTCTACTTAGCCAATCAGCGCGAGGATTCTTGCCTCGTTCGGTTATAAAAGGCGATAATAATAGTTCTATTACGGGAAACCAATACTCAGTTTCATCTATGATCTTCAGTCGTTTTTAAAAAGTGATTGAGAAATTGACGGTCTTAGGTTCATTATTCGGCAGTCAACCTGCTCAGCAAAGTACTGGTCTATTTGGTAGCACACAACCAGCACAGACGTCACTATTTGGAGCAAATACTGCAAATCAGCAAGCGAATACTAGTGAGTTTTTCTCTAAATTGCTTTAAAAAGTAATTCTGTCAAGT